ATCTTAAATTTTTAAATGTTCTCAAATTTAAAGCAATGTTCTCATGAGAACATGAGAACATAAGATTTCCAACACTGGTGCTCCCCATTGGGGTTTATACGTCAGCTAACTATAATTATATTTTTTAAAATAGATTTTTTAATTATCAAAGCTTAAATAAGCTTTTGACGCTTAAATGTTGGATATTAAGCATTTGAACATCAAAAATATACATCTCTAAGTATAACAACTAATCTAGATCTTAATATTATACAGATACTCGGTGTTTTTTTTCGATTCTTTATAGTATTTCTTTTGATAATGAGATTTAAGATTATTTTGCAAGTATTAAGACAATTTTGATTATATCCAGAGAATTCTACTGATCTTGGTAACACCATACTATTATATAATATTTGTTTTTAACATATTATCATACATATCCAGAACAATTCTAGTTATATTTAAGAAGTTATACTAACTCCAGTGATGCTATACTATATTTAATGTTGTAAACCCCAGAGATTGGTAGATACTGGTCAAATTTAATAAGGGTAATAACAAAGATTTTATTACATAAAAACAAGCAACATGACATAATTTCAGAAAAGTAGGATTGTTAGTGAAATAATATACGAATTCTGAAATCATTCCGGGTCCAAAGTTAAAAAATGCCTAGAAATTTAAGCAACCTGGAACAAGTCTAATGAAAGTTGGTTTAGTTCAATCCAACCTATTAAAAACCTCATGATTTTTAATATTTCGGAATTCGCAATTCTGGCCAGCGTTAGCAATGAGCTGCCATAATGTGGGCCAAAATTCCATGAGCATGAAATTTGGAACCATGTTGATTTGCACATTATTACTCATGATATAAGCGCTATCATTTTTATCTCATGCTAGACGAAAATATTTCGAATTTACCAGTAATTTTTTCTTAATCATATCTTTTCAAATCACTACATATGCACTACTTCACTATGAAGTAATTATGACATGTGATGCTATCGTATACCATTTCCGTGTGTAACGTAACATAACAGTAATCTTAAATAATAAGAGGAAGTTCGTTTGAAAAACCCTTATTAGCACCCTTATTTAACACCCTTATAGCGATCTCAAGTTTGTGAAACACGGTTTTACTAAATTTGCACATATTGCTTAGATTAGCTAATATTACGTATCAACCATGTTTGTAGCGAAAAAAATCTCTAAAAAAAGAAATTTGATGTATCACAAATTTGAAAACGTTGTATATAGTCTACTATTACGTATTGCTCTAGCTCTTGTGATAAAATGAGCAATACAGAGCAGTAGTAAAAAAAAATTATAATTGTGCTTGTCCTGATGAATTGATCATTAAATTTAATAAAAACACAGCCAATAATTTATGCAATGATCTCAAGTTTGTGAAACACTGTTTTACTAAACTTGGGGTCCGTTAAAAGCCAGATCTATATATTGCATAAATTGTATTTATGATATTTATATAAATAAAAAAAACTAATAATATTAAAAAAAGTAACCCTATTAAAGTTAGGAACTAGTTTTAATTTTATATTAAAACAGATTAAAACCGGTTTAAATAAGGTTATATCGTACATGGGCGTTATTTCGAGTTTTGGCTAGTGTTGCTTGCTGCAAATATGAAGTGCGAGGGTTGCAACAATAGAATGCGACATCGGTAATATAGTATTTATGACTTATCTTGTAATAATTACAGCATCAATAAACTGTAAAATTAAGCTGCGCCTTTGCAGCAAGCAACACTAGTTTTGGCCCGAATTAAATTTAAGTTGGGCCAAAATTCAAATAATGCCCATGCCCGCTATTTCGAGAATTTACACAACTGGGGTTAAATCGCCACCCAAAAAAATTCCAGATCGTGTGATTTAATAATTACAATATATCAATTATTATCCGGCAAACTCTTATGATCATAAATAAATTTCTGCACGTTATTTTTTTCATGTGATACGATGTAATCGTGTTT